TCAAAACTGAACTGCTTAGAATTATGTAATTACGTACAATCACCTTCAGGTACAATTGCTAATTTATCCCAGCCTGCCAGAACTGGTTTAATCATCTTCAGTGTTATTGTTAGGAAGGTGGAGAAACAACATTGGCTATCAGTTCTCCTGCATATGCTGATTAGGTAGGTTTATGGATGCTTTTTGTTTTATTATTTGTTGTTTGCCGAAGTGCTGCTTTGGAGTCAGGGACCTTTTGCTCTGAACACACAGAGGATACATGGGGTTCTAGTTCATCCCTCCAGGTGAAAGGCTATAGAAGGGATGGCCCAGTGTCTGGTGGTGAACTGAGAAAATTACTCAAACTAGTGGTTCTCAATTTTGTTTTCCTCTGAAGCCACACCAGAGGGATGATGTCAGTGAGTTTCACACACTTATGGCAGTAAGATCCAGTCACCACTGGCTGCCAAGTGTTTGAACAAAGTAGTTGCCATTCCTTTCCTGACACAGACATACAGATTTGTAAGATGCCAACTTCCTTCCACAGACATGCAGATTTGTAGGATGCCAACTTCCTTTTGTTCTGTTATGGTGATGGACACTTGAATCTTCTACTTTGCATTGCATACATAGGGCATTCACTGATTGCCTGCTTATCACATAGTACGAGGCACTTTTCATTCTTTGTGTCTCATTTTCACATAAAGCCAATAGGTGGGCATTATTTTCTTTATTGTACACGTGAGTAAACCAAGACAGAGAGACCAAATGGCCCTTCCACGTTACTAAACTAGTGGGAAACAGAGCCAGAATCCAAATGCTGGTCTTTTTTAATATGAGGTTCATATTCATTTTGCTGTAGGGCATTTCCTCACTTTGCTTAAAAGAAAATTGTTCCTTCTACCCACTAAAATCTCACGTGAAAAAAATGTAGCAGAGTGTATGCAACACAAACTGAAGCAAGTGAACATACCATAGAATGTGGGCTTTCTCCACACAAAATATCAAAATGCCCAAAGAACATTCATAAGTCTAGATTCAAAAAGAGATCTACCCCTCAAAAACAACTAGAAGGAAATACAACACAAGGTTATCAGTTATTATTTTTGGATGGTGGATTTGTGGGTGATTTTATTTTGTTTTTTATACTATTTTAGTTTTATTAAGTGTTGAAGGAAAAACATTAATATAAAAATATTTCACAATGTCCTGATATCTAAAGATGAGCAAAGTAAAATAAATGGAGGGAAATAATATCTGTTATAAACGATAAATGAGTAAATAGTTTGGAAAAAATCCTTCCAAGGATAGATTCAAGAGCAGCTAAGGAAAACCTCTGATGTAAGAAAATTAAATAAATATTTTCCCTCCACATATCAAATATTTTTTACCTCTGTGCCTTTGCTTAGCTTTCTCAGGCCTAAAATGTTCACATCCTATTTTCACATCTCTAAATATTGGCTATTCTAGGCCCACATCAAATGTTAACTCTAACTTGAAGAATTCTCTGATCCAAAACTGGAGTCAATATTGCATGTATTCCTCTACTCCTTAATTTACTTGTGACTTCCTTAATTTATAATTTATTAGAAAAATTTCTTAAGCATCAACTTTTATCCTAAGTTTGAGGATACAATAATTTTTCAGAGTAAAAAAGGTTTTATTATATCCATGAGAATTGTATAGACTGGAAGAAAAGAACTCACAATAAAATGTGATGGCATTTTAATGAAGGTATTGCAGTATGGAGGAAGTATAAAATAATTTCAGAAAGGCATTCTAAAGGAGATGATTTGGAAGAATGGGAAAATGATAAGGAGTAATTTAGAAGGGGAAGCAAAGATAAGGAATACAATGTCAGGTAAAATGAACAAAATCATAATACATTTAAGTTTGTCCATCTCTATTGTCCCCATGAAAAAAAAAACCTCACTTTTTCAATAAATGGAGACAATTAGATCAATAAAAGCATAGTCTCTTCCACCCATCCAATCACTGAAGCCATCAAAATTCATCCTTGATTCTGCCCTGCCCCTCACTCAGATTATTCAATCATGAATTTCCATAAATGCTGCTTGTACCCTCAAGGCAGCAGTGGGAGCAGGAGGGGCACTTTTCTTAGGTTCAGCTGTGTTTAGATTGACATTCGGCACTAGTCTCCTTAGAAGGACATCGGGTAGGAACCACATCCTGGCAGCTGGACAATATTGGGCCTTCCTCTCCATGGGAATCCTTGCAAGGATTCATGAGGATGACAACTCAACATGGTGGTCTGGGGATCACCTTCTCTTCAGATAACACAACTCAGGTGCAAAGAGATGAGATCCATGTTGCACAGATGTTGAGACTTCTCTGGTTTAAAAGAAGCCTCATGCTCCACAGGAGCTAAAATATTTTCTAACAATTCCTTAGCATATCTTCCAGAAACCCTGCAAGGGACATGCCTGTTGGTAGAGTCATGGCATTCAGAAGCCAAAAGCATAGCATTCCCATCAGACATACAGAGTTCATTCATAATCTATCCTTTCCAACCTAGTTGAGAACTAAAGATGCAAGTGGAAGAGGCTGAGATTACTCAAGGGCAACAAATAGCAAGCAGAAACAGCATCCAACAACATCCATTTTAAGGGAAACAGATTTATTGGTAAGCTCTGGGAGATGAGCAAGAATAAGAAATTAAGTGGTTAAGGAAGAGGTCTGAGAAGAAATGGATGGGGAAGGTATTTCTGAGGCCCAGAAAGGAGACCATTTCATGGGGCTTTCAGAGTAGAGTAACTATAACTCTATGCTAAAAAGTGGTCATGTAGAATGAGAACTAAAAATCAACTAGGAACTGGGCAGCTAGGAATTATTAATAACCTCAGGAAGAATCGCTTATGTGGAATGGTTGGAGACAGAGCAAGTTTCTATGGACTTAAGATTGAACCAAGAGGAATGCTAGCATATAAGTCAGGGGTAATGACATCAAGTGATTAAAAATATTTAAGGGCATATATGTTTAAAGGGCAACGCAGGGCTTTATGTGGAATAAGTATGCAGTAAGTATTTGCTGATTTGATTAAATTTGTGCTATATACATGATAGGATATTACTAAATAATGAGAGAGGTTTCCTTATGATAATGGGCATTTTTAGATAGACTGAGAAACACAGAAACTTTGCCAGTGTGTTTTTTTGGCTTGAGGAACCCTAATGGCCAGTGTCTTCTTAATTGTGCTCCTCCATGCTTGGGCGAATCCATGTGAAGCTTCTCCACAGAAGATGCACCGCAGGGTAAGAGACACTAAAAATACTTCTGAGATGAATGACAGTCACTTTGATTTGATAGCTCAGTGTCAAGTGTGATAAGAATGACCAGAAAGGAGAAATCAATGCCACCTAAAATTGAAGACCAGACAGTCACAGCTCTTAACACATTGTTGTCACAAAAGGTATTGACAAGCTATGTTATTTAGGATAAACATGAGCGTGGAGATATTTCACCCTCTCCCTCCTGGAGCTCTTTCTCCAAGCAATCGAGGAAAAATGAAGAAATCAATAACAAGGAAAACAAAAAACGTACTCACTGGAATGTGAAAGGATGTGTAGATATAAGAGGTTTCTACAACATCAACCATTTCAACCAAGTCACCCGAGCAGCTGGGCAAGGAGACCCATGTGAGGAAGACATTGCATGCCAGAGAAAATGACAATGATAACAAGGTCTTCTCTAGGTGCCCGGCAGGCTTTCTATATCCCGTTGTGAGAATTAAATGAGTCAATATACATACTGTACTTAACAAAAAAGACTGCGCTCTGCTTAGATACTTCTGGTAACTAATACCAGTGAAGGGACAATCTCAACTAAAAGTAATATTGAGATAAAGTCCAAACAGTTTAATGTCACGCTGGGGGAAACTGGTATAGGGAGAGATCTGTGAACCGAACATCAGTGTCAGATCCTGGGACTGCCGCTATTTAGCTATGGGACATCAACACCTCAAACCTCACTCACTTTTCTATTTGAAAGATGAAGAAAGCAGGAACAATTACTGAAGGTGGCTGCCGTGAGGGCTGCGGGAAATAAACCACCTGGCACCACAGTCCTTAGAAAGGGCCTTTACCTTGGCTCACAAAGAAAAGAAAGAAGACATTTTTGGTCAACTTGCGAGTGTTTCATAGTTGGTTGGAGAGATAATAGATAGATACACATGGACATTAGACAGATGGTAGTGATAATGTCCCTGCCTTTTCTATGCTGGACCTGCATGTTGATTTTATCCAATAAAGTGCCCAATTGCATTATGATAACTATCTTGAAGAAATACAGCTATATTCTTTTAGTCTGATTCCATACCCAGTGCTCCTCAGTTGTACTGGAAACCTAGGAGGAGGTATCATCAGCATGCATCCTCTCTACAGTATCAGATTTTGCAAGATTGAACTATGAGAATAATGTTGACTCCCATCCCCTCCCCTGGATGAAGACCAGGTAGACACTGTCAACCTTCTCTCCCTGGGACTCTCAGTTTTGCTGATCACCTTCTATCTGTCTCGTTTGTTCTTTGCAGTTTCTTGCTTTCATAAGCTCTTATTTGGGTCTCAGAGCCATTATGGGAACTGAGATATTGTGTATTTCCTGTGATTTTGTAATTAAACTTAGGAAGTTATCTTACTATGTGTGTGTGTTTTATTTTTCAAATTTATGGGTGATACTTACTTCCCCCAGGATTTATGAGTACAATAATAAAAATCATCTTAAACTGTTCAGTGGCAGCAAAGCCTTTTACTATCTTCATAGAATTTAGTTTAGTCTCAACCACCTTTTATCAATAGTGCACTGTGTACTTTCACATGCCCGAAATCAAGAGTCCAAGAACATAAAGGTCATTACAAACATAACTGTCTATTGCCTTTAGGTTGAGTTGTGTATTAATTTTAGTTTATCTTCTTTTCAACAATTAGAAAAAAAGGTTAAGTAGAATAAGGAAGGCAGGTGACGCATGTGGCATGCAGTAGCGGAAGGCTGTTAAATTGTTCACCTCCACAGACTACACCGTCGAGGTCTTCACAGCAGCGATCATCACACTCGCACGTCTTCCCATACACCCTGCGGTCCCCCGGCGGGTAGCAGGTACATTTGCCACATTCACATTTACCTGCAAAATACAAAGGGGGAGCACGTACATTAGGAGATTCATAGAACCAGGAAGGCTTTCAAAGGAAACAAGCACACTATTAAAGCCAGACCTCCGGACCAGTTCTAGGCTGGACCATTTCTAGCTCAGCAAACAACTTTTCTGAACCCCCTGTGGTAAGCTGAAGGTCAGACACAACCACCAAGGTGGTCGGGAGTGGAAGTGACAATTCCAGGCTCAGAAGTCATTCACCTTTACTACTGTCCACCTTTTGTTTCTTTCATCTTTGAAGACTAATTCAGTTATTAAACTATCTGGGTATTTCACATTCATCTTAGTTTGATGGTACCATTGAATGTAACTGAATCGACTTTACATATATTGAGAAATTTAGCCTAATGTGTTCATTTAAAAATATTTTTCTTTTGGGTGTATTCACCACATAAAGAAAAAAATGTTCATTGGTACATTGCAACATAACATTTTAGTGACTGTTTTGCATCAATTTTATAGTTCATTAAACACATTTTAACATGGAGCATGTGTCACGGCACATGACTTAAATATCTTTATCATTTTTGACTTAAAAATAAACATGTAAACATTTTTTGGAATGAGTTTGGTTCATAATTGGGGACTGCCTTAATATCATTATGACTTTTATCATCACTTCCTGAGCTGTAAATATGTGTCAAACATTATAATGTCTTAAATTCCATCATTTTGTTTTCATAATAACACCCATTGACTAGCTTAACCACTATCATTTACTAAACAAGAAAAAACAAGGCCAAGTTACTTTCCATGGTGACCCAGTTCATAAGGGAGAGATTCAAAATTTATATCCATGCTCATTAATGTTAAAGTGTGGACACTTAACCATTGAGCCATGCTGCACCTGAGTATACCCATAACAGAGCACCAGAAGACTATACAAGAGAGTAAATTCCTTTTGTTTGAGGAATTTGGACTAGTTTGCCAAAATTTCAGCTGGGTAACTACTTTGAGACATCTGTTACTCTCTGTCATTAGCCAACCATCATAATTATACACCCACTGAAATGATCATGAGATGCTTCAGGACTGACCCCACACTGTTGTTAGTCATTCTGTTGCTGCATTTGTATCTTGTTAAAGACATTCCGAGTTGGTAGAGAATGGGAGAAGGGAAAATTAGTATTTAGAATCATATAATTTCAGAGCTGTAATGATAGATGATCCAATGCAGTGATTCATTATCTTTTCTGGAGAAGTGTTGGGGTCATGGTCCCTTTGAGAAACTGGTGAAAGACATGGCAATAGATACTCCTGTGCTGGCTGCCCTTCAACCTGTCTGTTTTTCTACTTGGAGACAGTCTCAAGTTTAGCAGAAGACAGAGTCCCTTTCCTTGCCCAACGAGATTCCCTCTTTGTATGCCCTGGCAGACAGGACAGGGACACACCAGACACTCTTGGCAGGGCTTTGATTTTTGAGGGTGACTTCAAGGTCATAGGAGCAGTGAGCTTGACACACAGTGGCTAGTTCAAAAGTGGTGGCAGCTGGGGCTGGTCTTGGCAGTGCCTTGCTTAGCTGGAGTGTTGCATGAGCTGATTTTGCAGCATTGCATTCTGAGCCTAACCCCTTCTAATTCAATCCTGTTTCATTCCAGTTCATAAAGTTGGTTTCTGTTGTTTGCTATCAAGAACTATAACGGGTAGACTCCAGATCTCTCCCTGGAAGAACATACCAGCACACATTTATTTTTTGTAAAATGTCAGGAAGATCCATGACTTGCTGCAATGTATTTAATAGATGAGGAAATTCAAGCATGCTGAGGCTAAATGATTTGCCTACAGCCAGGGAAATAGACATCGGCAGTGTTGGTGCTAGAACCCAGATTATCTGAGCCCCAGTTACCTTCTGGTGTGCATAACCATGCTAGCCCTCACCATGAGTGGATGTATGAATAATAATAATCATCCAGGCTGTGGAGACAGAGAGACAAACTACTAGCAAAGAAGAGTAATGAAATAAGGCAGATATCTAGGATTTTTGATCAAAATATATTTTACTTAAACATTTCAAATTTGATACTCAAATAAAATACAAAAAAAGTCAATACATTTACAAGAAGCACAGTATATAGCTCTATGTGCAAGTAATCATTTTAACAAATAAAATATATCTCACTCAATTTAGATCTTTTTACTTTAAAATTTTTCACAATCATTAAGATGTGTTTATATTTGCCACAAGTATTAGATTAAAATTTAAAATCCTGCTGCACTTACTCAAAAATATCTCTTATAGGAAATTCAATAATTATTGAGAACCTATTTTGTGTGAATAATTTGATTAGATAATATTGTTAATGTTAAACAAAAGGTACGTGCCTGTAATTTCTGATATGCTATATAATTTCCAATTTATTTTCACTAAGTATTAACTCCAAATACAAATTTTGTAGAATGATTTCTAAGTATCAAAATCTTAGTTGTTTTGTGCAAAATTATTGGCTTTTTTATAATAAAAATTTATTCTGAAATAATAAGTCATGTTATTTAAAAGTTAAAGTTTTTCAATATTTGTTTTAATGAAAAATTCACATGATCACTAGACATATATAAAGATCCTCTCCTCTTAAGCATATGAGAAATGCAAACTAAAACCACAATGAGATTCTTTCCAAAACTAATCAGATAAACAAGCATTCAAAAAATGACCATAAGTTTGGCAGTGGTTTGGAAGTACAAAGCAGGTTTTTGTTTGATATTTTTTTACAGCTAGTGAAAGTATAAATTAGTAGAATATTTGGGAAGACTATTTAGCATTGTCTGGTAAAGTCAATATGCATAATATTTAAACTAGAAACTCAATTCTTAGCTACGTTCCCTGGAGAAAAGCATACACATTTGTACCAGGAGATATTCCAGTACAACCAGAGAAACACTATTCCAAGCAGTCTCAAAGGAAAAATATCCCAAATGTTTATCAATAATAGAATAGATAAATATCTATTATATTCTCAAATGGAACACTCTACAACAATTTAAATGAAGGAAGCACCATTGGTTGCACATCATGCTTGAATCTTAAAAATGCAGAGTGTAAGAAGTCAGCCACAAATAATACATATTGTTAGATGATATAATTTCAAAACAGGCAAGTCCAAACACTTTAGTGTTTAGGAATATATGCTTAGCTGGACAACTAAAGACAGGTGTAGAGGTGATTACCATGAAAGTGAGAATAATAGTCATCTTTTGGGGGAGGTATGTGGGGTATGTGGCAAGAGATAAGAGGTTGCTCTTGGGATTCTGGCTTTACTCTACTTCTTCACCTCAGTCATGGGTTGGTGTGTGATTACTTTACAAAACTTCCTAATGCTATAAATTCCACCATATACTTTTCTAGGCATAATGGATTTTTCAAGAAACAAGGCTAGTATAACTGGTGGGCCATGTTGCAAAATTAATCAGTTTCTTTACTTAACTCCTTACAACTAAATAGATTCCAAATGGATTCAACATTTAAATGTAAAAATTTAAAACATAAAATGCTAGACAGGAATATAGGTGGGAGTTTTCATAACCCTAAGATAGGAAAGACTAAATATGACAACAAACCAGAAACATACATTTAACCATTGATAAATTTAACCATAAAATATGATATTTAAATTATTTAAAGCAACAAATAGCACAAGACTAAAAATAAACAATGAACTGAGACAAAACTTTTGTACAAATAAGACAGATAAGTAAAAATTACTATATGTAAGCCTCATATGTAAATAAGAAATGATGTACACCTACAAGAAAAATAGACCAAGGACAAAAATGGATCATTCACAATATAAGTAATACATGATAATTACTATCAATGGTGAATTATTTATATCTTTTAGTAAATCCCATGGAAATAATCCACACATTTAAAATAACTATGCTTTGTTGAGAAGTCACCTGGTTTAATTAAAATACATAAAATTTCTTCGATCTTTTAAGTTAATAATATTTTACCTTATATATCTTGGGAGAAACCCTCATTTATTGTTTGTTGGATTTTGCCCACAAGATGCTGCAAGGCACATGCCAAACAAATAAACAAACAAAACAACAACTCAAAAACACTAAAGTAAGAAAAAGCAAAAATTTTATTCTATATATAGGATAATTCAATATCACTAAGTTATAAGCTGAGATAAAGAAAGAGTAGCTTGATACCTTTATAAAATATAGATTGCCTCATTTTAATTTTTATAAATTAAAAGATCAAAAATTTATTGAGGAATTTCACTAGTTTTCATTCTTATTAACTGCTAGAGTGCAATTACAGGAGAAATAATAATTTTTTATTTCACAAAATTGGAGACTGTTGGAGATGGAAAAGTCAATTTACAGGGAGGAAAAGCCCCACAATTTACAAAAGAGGAAATGAACCTCTGTGCCTGAGATAACGTGTGTCTTATTCGAGGTAATATTGTGAAAACAAGGGATCCAAAGGTCATAGGTCATCTCTCGCGGTCACAGAGTAAATAAGGGGTACGCCTCAATCATTTCTATACCTATTGTTGCTTTCCTTTTTAATAGTTAGAAACGGTCGTGTGACTCTTTGCTAATGAAAATGGTGAGATATGTCAAAGCATTGTCTGAGAAAAGGTGTTTATCTCTGGTAGAGGGTAACTATATGAAATTGTGAAGGTGACAACATTTGTTTTTCAGGCTATATATCTTTTCCTCCTTCTTTCCTTCTTTTTTTCTCCTCTTGTTTCTCTACTTCTCTTTGTCCCCAGTCATCTCCTCCAACTCTCTTTCTCTCTCTCTCTCTCTCTCTCTCTCACACACACACACACATAGGCACACACAGAGGCACACACACACATACGCACTCACATGCACACATACATGCCCTCTCCTTTCCTTTCTTATATGTCTTTTCTTTTTGGATTCCTCTTTTTGCACAGTTTTAACCATTACAAAGTTCTCAATCTTTAGACTTGCCTTCTCCTTCCCTCATTCTCTTTAAACTCCTCTTTATA